AAAATAAACAAACATAAATAGACAAACAAACATGATTACTACTAGTTTGACTTAATACTTTTCTCCCCGCTTCGATTTTACTGGTCATTATCTATAATTTACCAAACTGATAAAATCTGTAAAATAACAGTTGAAAAATTAATTTTACAACCTTAATATGCAGAATATTTCCTGCATTTTTTTTAATCGTCTAATGTTGTAAAATCACAAATTACCTTTTATAAAAATACATATATTTCATGACAACAGATATTTATAGTTTGGGCCTTTTTCCTGTTGGTGTACAAACACATAAATACTCGTTATTTTTCTGTTTTTCTTAATATTCTGACAATCTTGGCTCTTTCTTCCTTTCTTCTTTTTCTCTTTTCAACACGTCAATTTTAAATGAATTCAATCCTCAATCAGAATCTAACACCAGCAGTCAGTATGTTATTTCTAGTAACACCTAAATATCAAGTTCTATTGAGTCTCTTCTATTAATTACTCTCCTCTGGTGCTTCAGTCTTTAATAAGCCTCCTTTGCTCTCCTTCACCCTCCGCTGCCTCTCCATCCTCCTCCTCCACCCCTCGGCCTCCATCCACGGCTGTCACGCTCCTTTGTTTCTTTCTTTATCTAATTCTTCTTTTCTTTTTTTTTGCATCGGGTCCACTCATGTATTGCTTTCATCCTCTCTGCGTCGCCCTGTTTCACCTCGCCACGGCCTCCTCGCAAACACTGTGCGTTCTTTTATAGCTTTATTATCCAGCTTGTGGCAGCAGATTGCTTTACAGGAGCTCAGCGCTGTGCCGTGTTGGTATCCGCTGTAAATGAAACCTATTTTTTTGTCCGTGGCTGGAGCGGATGTTGTCGTATTTGTGGGGGGGTTGCGACCCGCTGCGATTTGTATGAACTCGTTTTGCAGGCCTCTGAGAGGAACAAGCAGCGCCGTGTTGAATCTGTAACCAGAACTGTGTGTGTGGAGCCCAAAGAGATGATGTTCAATCTCATCCACGAGGCTTGGAAACGGCTTCCCGGCTCACGAAACAAATGTAGATTTAAGAGGATCAGTTTTGTCTTTCTTACTGTAACATACGATTAAAGAATTGCATCATCCTTGCGAGCGATGGGGAAGTGGATTTCAGATAGAAGCACTGTTTTGTTTTTATCACATCTTCAGCCTGATGATGACTAAACACTGAGAGTCCCCTGTGAGCAGATAAATGCTCATGTCATGCTAGGATGCTAAAAATGACCATGTTAGCCTACTAATGTTTACCATTTGCACCGTATTAGTTCAGCATGTTAACATCTGCTAACACACAGTAAAGCTGATGTCGTCATTTGACCTGGAAGTAGTCAAACTGTGACCTGATGATGACACAACGTGAAAACTTAGAGGTTCACCAAAGTCTGTAGGCGTCCTCTGGGGAAAAATTACAAAATAGAGCTGTGACTCAATAATCCGACCCTTAACTATCCAAAACAGGGTTTTAGGAAAAACAAACTGAACCCATAATAAACAGCCTTAACATACCGACAGCCTTGGATTCTGACTCCGACATGACATTTAATGTCACCAATCAGGATAACGGCGTATTATCTGACTGAACAATCCCACAGATTGGCTACGTTCACACTGCAGGACTTGATGCTCAATGAGGACTTTTTGTGATATCCGATATTTTTGTGAGTTTGTTCACATTTCCAGTTCAATGCGACTTGTATGTGATCTGCTGTGTGAACTTCATACGACTCAAAAGTGTCCCGCATGCGCAGAAGAGGACACGATGACGTCACACGCAGTGAGCGTGCTCAGTGTTTACGGAAGTAAACATGGATGGTAACGGTGGAGGGAATGGCGCCACTGCTGCTGATGGTGGAAACAGAAGTGTGACTGCTAACTAAACCAGCGGTCCCCAACCTTTTTTGCGCTACGGACTAATTTTACACAAGAACGTTTTCTACAGATCAGTCATTGCGCACATAACATAAAAGTAGTTTCACAAGTGAATAAAATCACCTGCTAAATATGTGTTTAGTTTTTCATCTGTCTTAGCATCGAGTCTTCCCAAAGAAGTTCTCTGGAGACGCCTGTTTTTTAAATTCATTTTGGCAGCGGTTAGACTGACGGCTTCGTTTAATGACCAGCATGAAAACTGACAGTCAAGTGCGAGAAACAAGCACAGACGGAAGTGACGGGAAGACGAGCTAGTGCTTTTTCAAAATAAAACACCCCGTAGACTGCGCTGGAAATAAAAATAAAACAATAAAACTTTTTTTTTTCTTTCTTTCTGTGTGGCCCGGTACCGGTCCGCGGCCCTGTGGTTGGGGACCGCTGTCTGTGTGTTCCGGCCACTTCCACCCCGTCAGAGCGCTCCCCTGGAGTGGAAGTGTCCCCCGACTGCGCCAAATATTCGGATATTCATCATTAATTGGGCCTGAACATCCAGAGAGCAGAAAGTGCTATTGGGACCAGCCCTACTAGTTATTATAACAACTATGAACAATGAATATTAACAACAAATGAACCTTCCAGCATCAAGCCCTCCTTGTATCTGGACCTCCGTCTTGACAATCAGACATAAAAGGAGGTTTTACATTTAGTGTCGGATTANGCAGAAGAGGACACGACGACGTCAAACGCAGCGAGCATGCTCAGTGTTTACGGAAGTAAACATGGATGGTGGCGGCGGCGGGGGGAATGGCGGCGCTGTCCCCGCTGCTGCCAATGGTGGAAACAGAAGTGTGATCACTATCCTAAACCAGTGGTCCCCAACCTTGTTTGCACTACGGACCAGTCTTAAGCAAGAAAATTTTCTACGGATCGGTCATTGTGCACATAACAAAAAAACAACATTTATTTCTATTAAAAAGTTTCACAAGTGAATAAAATTACTTGCTAAATATGTGTTTACTTTTTCTTCTGTCTCAGCATCGAGTCTTTCCAAAGAAGTTCTCCGGAGATGCTTGTTTTTTTTAATTAATTTCGGCAGCGGTTAGACTGAAGGCTTCGTTTAACGGCCGGGTGTGAAAACTGACAGTCAAGCGCGACAAACAAGCACAGACGGAAGTGACGGGAAGACGAGATAGTACTTTTTCAAAATAAAATACCCTGTAGGCTGCGCTGGAAATGAAAATAAAACAATAAAACTTTTTTTTATCTTTCTTTCTGTGTGGCCCGGTACCAGTCCGGTGGTTGGGGACTGCTGTCCTAAACTAGCATTAGCAGCCAAGTACTGCCTGTGTGTTCCGACCACTTCCACCCTGTCGGAGCGCTCCAACGAGGTGGAAGTGTCCCCTGACCGCTCCAAATATTCTGATATTCATCATTAATTGGGCCTGAATACCCAGAGACCACAAAGTGCTATTGGGACCAGCCCTACTAGTTATTATAACAACTATGAACAATAATTAACAACTAATGATCCTTCCAGCATCAAGCCCTCCTTGTATCTCGACCTCCGTCTTGACAATCCGACATAAAAGAAGGTTTTACATTTAGTATCGGATTATCGAGTCACGACTCAAAATTAGCATAAAAACTTGTATGAAGCTGCTCATGTGGCAGAAATAGCTCAAATAAATCAGACACACAGTAGACAGAAGCACTTTGATCGCTGAAACACTCTGCCATCCTCGTCCTGTCTGCACAAGGATCAAGTGTGTTACAGTGAAACACAAAAACAAACGTTCATGTTGAGCAATCTGCACACTGGCAGTGGAAAATGTTCACTGTCATGGTAGCGTTGCCGCTGGCAACCGGAGCATGACTGATGCTTTAATTTGGTTGCTTTACTTGATTACACAGTTGGTGAAGCTGTGGAGGATAATTGATTTTGGTTAAATATTTAAGGCAACATTAAAGTCTTGGATTTGAGACGGCGGGCTGAACTAAACCAAGTGTTGTATTAGCTGAACAGTACAAACGTCAGGCTGCTTGTGTTTGGTACAAACACGTCATATTTCATGGATAGGATTTGTTTTTTTCTGCTGTGAGCTGGTTCTGATATTTTTGAGTTTAGATGGGGGTTTTTTTTGTAATATATTTGATCAGTTAGTGCTGTTTTAACGGATTTTGAATTATTTCTTTCTTTCTTTCTTTCTTTCTTTCTTTCTTTCTTTCTTTCTTTCTTTCTTTCTTTCTTTCTTTCTTTCTTTCTTTCTTTCACATATTTTTCAATTCAAGGTGATTTGTTCTAGGCTTGCTTTTGGAATTTTAAGTGACAATTATTACAATTACCCAACTTCAGTGGCAGATAGCCCACTGTTATTCATTATAAAAACAGCTTTTGTTAACTAAATCTAATAAAACTGATTCTAAGGAGTGAAAACAACAGACTTGATTCTAATACAACTTTGATAAAGATCTGAATTAGCTCCTATAGCATAATTTAATTACCAAACTTCTGCCACTTTTAGTCACCTATGAGCTTCCCTCCTTCTCTTATTAAATGTTTAAAACACACTGAGTTATCGTGCATCACCTGCGACTGTTATGTGGTTTCAAACAGACTCTACTAACTGCTGGTTGCGTTTCTTCTCTGGAGGCGTTTTGACTTTAAACTGCCTGCAGCACGAGCTTGTTCGCTTCAGTGACAAAATAATTAATTTAAAGGCGGCATCAGATGTAACGTGTCATGTTCTTTGTCAAAGCGCCTTTTAAAGCGATCCTGGGTTTTTTTCTTTAGTGTTTATTCCTCTCCTGTATGTGTGCACCATGTGTGATAACATATGTAGAAAGCTACAGTCCTGCATATTTCCTGACATGGTGATGACCTTCTCACCTCGTTTCTCTGTTAACCTTCTTCTCTGGCTCCTATTCATTTATCTCTGTCCCTTTATGTTGCTGTCTCTACTGTTTTATCGCTGCCATTCCTCACCCCCCTTTTTTTTTTCTTCTTCACCTGTTCTGTCGACTTCTTCCTTTATCTTCTGCCCAGTGTCCTCCGTTCTCCAAACACCTCATGAATAAGCTCCTCTGTTACTTCCTTTAACAGTTTTTCCTTCTAACCCTCAGATGGCGTCCACAGCATCTCAGCCCAGTGTGTTCTGCGCGTCCTCATCATCACCGAGGACATGCTGGGCAGCAGCGTCACCGTGCGCCTCCAGAACATGTCCCAGGAGCACTTCCTGTCGCCGCTGCTGGGGAACTTCCTGGAGGGCGTGTCGGCGGTGCTCTCGGTGCCCGTCGAGGACGTTTTCATCTTCAACATCCAGCCCGACCTGGACGCGGCGCCGGGAGGCATCCTGAACGTCAGCTTCTCGGCAGCGCTGCCGGGCGGACACTTCTTCCCCTCCGAAGCTCTGGAGGAGCAGCTGTACCTGAACAGGCCGAGGCTGACGTCACTGACGCAGATGGAGGTCGGTACATGGGCAAAACACACACAAACACACTCGCACACACGCATACGAATTAGTCTTTTAAGTGCTGCATATTGGTGTAAGTAACCTGTAGGGGGAAAACAAAGTTCCATTAAAAATTGGCCTGTTTTTGTGTGCACATGTAAAAGAACATCATTTTTCTGTGATTTTATCTGTAATTTAACATAATCAAGAAAAGCTGTATAGTTTACGAAGAGCTCTACCATTTTTCAGTCCTAAATATATATATTTTTTTCAATTATTTGCAGATATCTGTAAAATTACAATATTTTTGTTGATTTATATACACCAAAAAAAAGGTGTAACGTTATGGTCAAAAGCTGTAAAAAAAAATAACTGATCTTTCACGTGGACGTTTTACAATTTAATTTAATTTAATTTAATTTAATTTTTTCTTTTTTTGTTTTTGTTTTTAACAATTTTAGCACATTTTCTTTCAGTTAACATATAAATTAACACTTTTTTTTCATGTGATTTCAGTGGACATTATCTGTAATTTAACAAAAGGGTGAAAGTGCAAAAAAACAATAAATAGTTTTTTTTTTAAAAATTACAAGAAATATCTATTTCAAAATATTCTTTTTCTTCTTCCTTTCAAAGTCCCTTAAAAAAAAAACAAAAAAAAAACAAAGAGAGAAACACGCAAATGCTGATAAGTGTACAACTCACATGTAAAATCATGTCACTGAAATAATACAATGAAATGTGGAAAATCAGTCACTTGTATGTGATTCAAACTTTTGTCCTTTTTGCCCTTATTGCAAATATCACTGATTCAAACAAATCTTTAGTTGTAAAGTCGGGTTAACTTTGACTTAAACAGAATTAAGAATGCCAGCAACTTCAATCCAATCTAGCATTTCTGATTCCTGCAGAATGTACCTAAAGTTTTGGGACTTTAACCCTTGAGATCCCTTTTGTGAATCCATTAATCCAGATAATGTGATGAGACTTTCAAGACGGTCATGTGAGCATATTGCATGTGAACTGATAATAATACAGTACAGATGCTATGGCAGAGCAGCCATATGGCTTCATGCAACAACACACAGATACGATCGCTGCACGTTCTCATGCATGAAATCACGCACACCTGGATACAGCATCCGCATCACCGACATACATGTTTACACAACCCGGAGCATCTCCACTAACACATATGCACGGAGATGTTTCGATAGAAGAGGAGAGCTGAAACCAGATGGAGAAAAAAAGATTTATGAAGGGTGAGAGAGTGCACAGCAGTGTGAAGTGATGGGCTGAGTGTTTATAACCAGGCGTTGTCACACCAACACATGCAGACAGAATCTATAGTCTCTTACTGCCAAAAAAAACAAGACACAATCTTGTGAATATATCTGATCCGGTGCCCTGAGCTGCACACAGTAGCAATAAATCATCTTTTGTGGAAAGTGGATTTATGAAGCTAAACAGCATAATGTTTTCAGAGGAGTGAATAAGGGCAGATTCCTGAGAAGGACTCGATACTGTCAGCAAACTAATTCCATCATAAGTCTAAATATTTGAAAAGGAATCAAGGATTTAATCTTTGGCTCATTTTTTTCGAATCCCCTTTTCACTTTTCCGATGACATCCTGTCGTAAATATGTCAACCAGCAGCTTCCCAAATCAGAGGCATGGACCTTCCTCTGTGTAAAGCCTGAGAGACACGACCCAGGGCTGATAAACTCTCATGAACAATGGCTGCTTCTTGTGTGCTTATCAGTGTGAGACAGCCATATTTCTGTCAGCCTAAAGCTTTGTCTCATCTGGATTATGATGATTTGACAGTAAGTGGACGATGTTGACACAGGTTTCAGATTGAGGCGCATCGTTATTAATACACGAGATTTGGTTTTGTGAGGCTTCCCAGTTGTTCTGATTGTCACCAATGTATTACTGCAACATGGTTACATAAGCATGATGAGGCTTTAGCATTATCATGGTAACATGTAGCTACGATGCTAACATGATTGTGCCATGTTAATGCCGATATAGTTAGACATTAGACTGTTTTTAAAGATCTAGTCCTCTCAGAAAACTTCCAAGCTCCATTTGGAGGCTCCGGTCGTCGCCATCTTGGCAGTGCCTGACTTCCCCTAACGTCTCTTTGCTGTCCTGTGAAGGCACCCATCTGTTATGTAAAGTGACCTCAGCCTCAGTAATACACGATTCTAAGCCTTAATACAATTTAAATGGATGACTTATGTAAGAGTTCACCCACAGTGCAGTTGTCATGATATGGAAATGAACTACAGCAGGGGTGTCCAATCCTGGTCCTCAAGGGCCACAGTCCAGCATGTTTTAGATGTGTCCCTCTTCCAACACACCTGATTCAAATGATCAGCTCATCATCAAGCTCTGCAGAATCCTGATAACGATCCTGGTCATTGGATTGTGTCCCTCAAGGACCAGGATTGGACACCCCTGAACTACAGAGACCAAAACTGTTTTTCTGTCACACTGTTGTGACGGCCCCTGAACTTCCTGTTTGGACTGTCTTGGTTGGCTGGAGTTCAGGCTCCCTTAGAGAACAACAGGAAGTCCATCAGTTGACGGCTGACACCTGTGCTGGTTGTTCATCAGCTTTATAAGCTGACTGGAATCAGCTGCTCGCTCTCTGGGCCTGGATTTTGGTTAAGTTGTCTGGGTTCTTTTGTTTTCTACATTTTTACACATTAGCTGCCATTCATCCACACACATTACTGATAGTACTGACCCAGATCTTTAGTTTGTTTGTTAAATCATGTTTGGTTAAAATAAATCAAACTTTCTCTGATCATGTGTGGTCCTCTCCTCTTTGTCCTTCCTGGAGCCGGGTCATGACAAATCCGGGCTTGTCTGTTAACTTGTAAGTAGTCTTCTAGGTTGGCAAACTGTGTAGTTTGCATGGTTGGAGAACACCATGTTTGATGGAAGTTTTGGAGGAGAGCATTTTGTATTTTGTTTGATCAGATGGGTAGTTTGGTGAGTCCTGGCTCTGGTTCTTGGAGTCTTTCCTGTTTGGTTAAGCAATCAGCTCTAAACAGAGAGCTTGTTGCTTAGTGTGGCAGTTAAAGTGAGCAGAGCCGTGTGCTCGGGATCACATCAGTGGGTTTCTGGGAGAGCCATCAGGTTCTTTTCAGTCCCACTGGTTTATAGTGAGTAAATACCCCTCACTGCTAACTGCACGAAGACGAGAGTTGAATATTTTGGTCAGTTATGTTGATACACAAGCTATTCTAGGGGGGAGAGACTCCAGGTTTAGCAAGCTGTAAGCTATGACTTCTGTGGTGGACTCCTTCATTCAGACACCATCTGTACAGTCATTAAAGCAGTTGCTGAGGATTGCTGATCATTTTAAGATTGTGATTGGAGCAAATAGGCTTAAAGACACCATCAAGAGTATTATTAAAGCTAATTTGATGGAAGAGGAAATCATGGAGGGTGAAGAGGAGAAGCAAGTTTCTACTGATCAGATTTCTGCAGTGGGTCATTTGACTTTTGACATGTTTATTTCTGCTGTAAAGTGATCATTTTCACAGTGGTCATTTTAACATGGGGGTCAATGGAGACTGACTCGTTTCTGGGGCATCCTCAAGTGGACATTCGTAGAACTGCAACTATTTTTTAAATAAAAAAGTTTGTCAGTTTCCTTCAGTGTCCTCATCTCTTAGAATTCCTCTTTAAAAATGTGCAAAAATATCCACATTTTAGGTCAAATAACTTGCTAAATGTGTGAGTCAAACTTGAACAACTTGACAATTTAACAAAAAAAAAGAGAACACTTCACAAATGGTCCCAAAATCCTTCTTTTTTTCTTTTTTAAATTTAACATCAAACTTCCTAAAGACACATGAAGTATGTAAAACTAGCTCCACACCTGAACAGCTGCAACAATAAAACACACTTTATTCATGAATGCTATAATTTCTGATATTAAATCATTACTAGTAATTGCAAATAAATAATTATACATAAAAATATTTGCAAAATTCAATTAAAATCTTCTAGTATAATGTACATTTGTATATTTTATGCTGATATTTTTCTACTAAGACTTCTCTAATGTAAGTAACTTCCCCTCTGGGATCAATAAAGTATTTCTGATTCTGATATTTCGATACCGTGAGTACATTTTACAGATAATTGCTTAAGTGGTATTTTTTTTATTGAAGGTATTTACTTGTAATGGAGTACACACTAATGTGTTGTTGCTTTTATAGCATGGCTTACTGGAACATCTAAACAGAAGAGAGACATTATCAATGTTAGTGATGCTTTTACTGCTCTGACACATCAACGCTATGACATGTGTGCTGTGAGGGAAAGACAACACCCTGCTGTAGTGAGAGGATAATGAATGAAATCCTCCACGAGAAAATGTGCTGAACAAAGACAGCTACCTCCACAGAAGCTGATCTGACTGGGGAATTGTCGCGGCGTTTCATCCTTCACTGCAGGTTCTCCCGTTCGACGACAACGTGTGCTTGCGGGAGCCCTGCCAGAACTACATGAAGTGCATCTCGGTGCTGCGCTTCAACAGCTCGGCCCCCTTCATCTCCTCGCCCTCCATCCTGTTCCGGCCCATCCACCCCATCGCGGGCCTCCGCTGCCGCTGCCCCGTGGGCTTCACGGGCGATTACTGCGAGACGGAGATCAACCTGTGCTACTCCAACCCCTGCCTGAACGGAGGAGTTTGCGCCCGCAGAGAGGGAGGATACACCTGCATCTGCCGCGAAGACTACACCGGTGAGTGTGGAGGGGAGGCTGGGCTGCAGCGAGGTGGTTTTGTGGCTTTGGTAAAGGTGAGCTGGTGTAAAAGTCCTTACTTACATGGGTTTGTGGGTCTTGTGTGGTAAAGATGGCAGTATGCACAAGAGGAGAAGGAACCTAAGTTAACTCATTAACCTTTTGGATTGATGATGAGGTTAAATAGCCACATGTGAGGCTAAAATTAACAGAAATAACCCTCATTTAAGGGACGCGTCCTTGATCTTGATCAGTCTAGTCGGCTCACTCTGGATTTGCCTTGCAGTCGCGGTCCACAGGGTTTAACATTGACCTTTCCAGTACACCTGCTTTAATTAAGCAGCACTTTTGATGTGACAACATTTACATCTTTGGTGGCAAACTGTCAGACACCAGGGAGTCATTGTGCAGCCTAAAATGTCAAGTCGTTGCACAAAGTTGTATAATGTGTCCCTACACTATCACAGAGCTGAAATAAGAGCCTTTAAATCTACTTAAAAGTGTTGGATTATAGATACAGAGATAGAGATACAGTATGTGTTAAGTAAAACAGATGCAAACATTTCAGTTACAAATTTCTATCATACAAATGTATTTAGTGCATTGGATGGGATCTAACCAGTGGTAACAGTTGAGGCAATCTAAACCCGTATGTCAGTTTAAATATTCCACTTTATGCATGTAGTTGTGTTGATAAGAAAGAATCATTACTTGAATTATGCATATCTCAAAGGGCTGTCAGTGTTTCACACTCTGAAATCCAAAACCTGCTGGCGGGTTTTCAAGGCATAACGTCAAACTCATACCATTTGTCAGACCCAGAAATGGTAAAAACCAAAATAATTGTTTGATTTTTTGTTATTCTTGACCTAAACATCTGTGACATGCTGTTCAAAATGAACCAAATCTAAGCTTAAAGTTGCGATTTTTCTTCATCCAAAGCACTTTATTTTGCATGTCTCATTTAGACATTTGCAGAAATCAACCATATACAGTCTCCACATTCTGTAAAAAAACAAAAATTCTGCACTCGTCAGGACAAACAAGTAGTTAAGATTGATTCAGATGTGATTAACAGTTAATTGACAACAATTGTGAGACATTTCAGCTGAACTGCAGGCAGTGTTTACAGAGAGCAGATAGGAGACAAGTATAGCAACACATTAAAACCGCAAGTAGTAAAATATGGACGGTACATGAAGTCTACATGATTTCCATTATTGATATAACCTGTGGGCACTTTGACACATGTTTGAGTCCAATTAGTAACAATAAATAATCAATTAGTTTAAATGTTTTTATCTTTTTGTGATTTATAACATGATAACTGTGTCACACTGCATAGAAGGCATTCCTAGAAGTCTCTCTACTTCTAGTCATGGCTGTTCTGTTTCCATAGAGGTGCAGGACTTTGTATTAAATTAAATATGGATGTTTGTGATGCAGGCATTTGTAATCATAGACTTGATTGTCTTCTGGGTGGTTGGTTTGAATCGATGGCCACAGATACGAGGAGACGTTTGGTGTTTGTTAAGCGTTTGAAAGGAAAAGAAAAGGCGGTGCTTGCATTTGTATGTTTGTTTGTGTCTTAATGTAGTCTTTGACTCTACCCCGGTAAACCAAAACTGACTGCGGCTTCTTTGTTCCTGTCCCGCGCTGACTTCTCGTTTGATCCGCTCTGCTTTCACTCTTTTGTCGTGTCGAGCAGAACAACATGAAAACACACAGTGTGCCTCCTGGGACAGCTTCCTCCTCCTCAGCTCTACCTGTTACTCGGTCTTTTCTCACAAACGTGCATCCACACGTACACAACCCCCACTCTCTTTTTTAATTTGTTCCCTTTCTTACTCATTCACCTTTCCCAATACACCAGACTCATTTCAGACCGTCTGCCCTTTTTTTCTTTCTCGGTCCCTCTTCACTGCAGCATTGCTTCAGCTATTGAGTCGATGCAGGAGAGCATAGATGCTGTGAATGTCAGCGTTCGCGCGTCTGTCTGGGGGATATTTCACATTGCCTTTTATTTCGAATCAAAAGAGAGCTGGGGGAGTGAAGCAACACTTTTCTTTCATGAGAGAGACAGAGTGTTTTCCAAACTCCCACTGAGACAGACGGAACGAGAGATGAGCCGAGCGATAGGAAATGAGCAGCCGAGAAATGGAGGTAGAAAGAGAGCGAGTGGGAGGGAGGAAAGTAGAGTGTGATGGCAAAGTGGAAGAGTGAGTCAGGAAAGTTTAGGAAATGGAGAGGAAGGAAATGTGTAGGAGAAGAGGTAGTTAAATCACAAGAAAGAAGAAAGACACCGATAGTAAAGGATTCCCTACAGATCGCTGGATTTGGGAGCGATATCAGTGAAAAGTTAAAATCTGGATGATTTTTTTTGCTCATTAATCTAAAACAGTGGTCCTAGAACCAACTGTAGATGCCTCCACATCACACATAGGTTTGTTTAACAGGGTTTGAAGCTCACTGTGGTGGCTTCAGCTGCCGCCATGTCTCCACTTTACTGAATTTTAAGCCCTAATACAGTTTAACCCTATTCAGGACTTTTGGGGCGTTTTGGACCCCAGGCCATTTGGTTTAGGTGACAGCTATTGTTTTTTTTTTTGTTGTTTTTTTTTGAAGATTTTTTTTTTTTAAATATAAAAAGAGGGACATCTGTCATGCATTTGGAACCAAAAATAACTTATCAGAACATTTATTTAATATAGTATAAAAGTCTATGATGAATACCAACAAATATTTTGCACTTATTCATTCTTGGGATACAATGGACCCCAAAAGACCTTCTACGTATGAAAACATCAATGTCCTGAATAAGGTTAAATGTGTGGGTTGTATAAAGGTTCAACCCCACTGCAGCTGTCCTGAAGGTGGAACTAAACTATATAACCGGACAGCTGTGGTTCAGGTGGTGGAGCGGTTGTCCTCTAATCGCAAGGTTGATGGTTCGATCCTCAGCCCCTCCACAGTTTAAATGTTCTTGAGCAAGACATCGAATCCGAAGTTGCTCCCAATGGCAGGCAGCACCTTGCATGGCAGCTCCTTCACCATTGGTGCATGAATGGGTGAATGAGAAAACACTGGAAAGCGCTTTGAGTACTACTAAGGTAAAAAAAAAAGTGCTATATAACTACAGATCATTTACCATCTAACTATAGAGACCAAAACTGTTTTTTGTACCAGTCTGTAAACATGTTTATTTCTGCTGTGAAGTTGGGCATTTTAACATGGGGTTCTATAGGCACTGACTCAGCTTTGAAACCAGCCTCAAGTGGCCGTTTGAGGAACTGCAACTGCTTCTTTAGTCTTCCTAATTTCTAAGAATTCTTCCTTACAAAATGACAAAATATCCTCATTATAAGTGAAGTAGATTCCTGAACCTGCTAGTCAAACTTAAACAAACTGGTAATTTAACAAAATAAGTAAAAAATATTTGCAAATGGCCCCAAAATCAATTGTTCTACGTTAAACTTCCCAAATATATGAAGTCTTTTTAACTTGCCTCAGCAGTAAATCACACCTTTAGCATTGATGCACAAGTTTTAATAACCAGATACTGTAATTTATAGTAATGTGATATTAATAAGAATTTGATACCTTAAATAGAATTTTCTGATCATACTCGTGAACCTTAACATGAGGTGAAATCTTTGCTCATGAATCCAAAACATTGGTCCCAGAACCCACAGTGGCACACTTTGACCAATGGCAGATTTTCCAATAAATCCAGACAGTTCCTTGAGTGAGCCACATTGGTTGATTGACTGGTGAGTTTATAGTTTATAATACCAACAAAGTAACTGTGCAGGTACTGTAACTACAGCTTAGATGGTAGATTACGTGTCTCTGCTTGCATTTTGAAATAAAAATGTGTGATTCAGGGAAAAGATTTGCAGGAATAGCCCTGTTTAACAGCCCTTACAGCCTCTCTGTTGGCATTCTGGTTTAGGTCCAAAAGCTTTGACCACAAAACAACAACAGATAGAAGTTACTGAGAGTAACTCCACTTCTATGAGCATGTAGAAAATAGAACAATGGATTTTTATTGTGACGTCTATATGGTGATTTTTGTTGTTGTTGTTGATAGTGATGTTTAAGAAGAGAAGACTGCAGCTGGAGGAGGAGACGCAGGGCAGAAAAAGATGCTGCTTGTTGTCCTGTTTGAATTTAATATAATTGTTTATGAGGTTGGCAGACAGTCGGGAAACAGGCGGGTTAGCCGTGAGACAAAACAGGGTATGAAAACTAAATACATGAACCAGATGCAGGCGAGGAGGCTAACGAACAGGACACACTGACAAAAGGTATGAGGAAGATGCAGGACTATGTAGAACAGATTTAAGCAATCAAAAGAGGAGGGAAGCAGACAAAGGGAGGAAGTAAAACAAAATAAAACAGGAAAGACATACCCAGGAGTAAGTGCTTTTATTTTTTCTGGAAGTGGTGCTGAAGGAGGTTCTATGCACAAATGTTTGGGCTGCAGTGGAAGAGATATTACTCAGATTTTCATATGGCCACATGGATTCTGACAGACCTTGGCAGATTTTCTCCTTCCCATCTTGCATACTTTGGCTTGCAGGGAGCTTAATGCATAGGGGGCCTTAATTCTGGAGGCAGGAAAGAGGAAAAGCAGACTCATGATAGGAGACAAAAAGGATAAGAGAAGAGGTGAAAGAAATTAGAAAAATGGTTGAAAGATGCAAGTAAAAGGTGGAAACAAAGATGCAGGGAAAGCAATGCGCAGAGGATGACAGGGAGGGAGGTGGATGACTTCATTGGGAATAACATGGGAGGAGGGCTGCAGGGGGGGGAGAGACATCCAAGAGCTCTGAGAGGTGAGAGACGGAGCGAGGGAAATCAGATGGGTTCTGGTTTAGTCGTTGTTGTGCTTTTCCTGCGTAGGCGTCGGGTGCTGCGGTGCCTCGTCGACGCCCCGGGGTTAGTGGGAGGAAGAAGAGAGGGAAGACGACGAATAAACGGGGACGAATTGATTCTGC